CAGCAGCCACGTTCCCTCTGGGGAACAGGAGGGGGCAGAGAACACAGGGCACCAATGCCCTTCCCAGCACAGGGACCCTGGTAGGGAGAGAGATGCTTTTCTCCAGCTCCCATAAAAAATTTCCAGGGAAGGATCTGATTGGTCCTGCCTGGGTCACAGGCCCAGCCCTTGCACCAATCACTGTTGCCAAAAGGACCTGCTGCTTCCATGGTTGTCTTGTGTGGGCCCTGCACCAGCCACCCAGGGGCCACCCACAACAAGTGCAGGGGCAGAGGATCAGGAGGTCCTTAAACACCCCAGCTTCAGCCCCAGGAAGCCCTTCCACCCTCAAGCACAGCTCCTGAGAAGGCGCCATATACAACAGATCTGTCAGGGCACCGGTGCCTCAACAGTGGTAACCAACATCACTGAAACTGACCACCACCTGGAGGAAAGTGTGACAAAGCCACTTGCGCTTTTTTTTTTTGAGACAGAATCTTGATCTGTTGCCTGGGCTACAGTGCCGTGGCATCAGCCTAGCTCACAGCAACCTCAAACTCCTGAAGCCACTTGCTTTTCATGGTAACACCAGTGTCATTAGCCCAATATACAGATGAAGAAACCAAGATTCAGACAGGTCCAACATCCCTCAGGGGCACAGCCTTTGGGACCACACAGTCAAGATGCCTTTGGCTCCAGTCCTGAGTTTGGCACCAGTCCACGGGTATGGTCAAGGAGACAGAGAGTGCCGGCTCCCGACTTCCTGGAGGAACGCAGAAGGTGAGAGGCTAATATTCTTAAGTGACCCTGCCATTTACAGATTCCAACATTTCTATAATAAGCATCCATTACTTTTATAATGAGAAATGTTCCCTCCTGCCAATCCTCGCCCACAGCGCTTTTCACAGTTCTGACTTTTTTTTTTTTTTACCTAATGACTGATTCCACCAACACACAGGAGGGTTCGAATCGCAGTGGGCTTGTAAGGAATAATTTAATCGGCTTTTGATTCAAATTCTCTCACCTGTCCACAGGCTTTTAAGAAGCTCTTCCCTGGATCCCAGGAGTTTCCTTCCCCCTTCCTGCCTTGTCCTTCAGGCCAGCCTAAGGGTCCTCACACCCCCCTCTGTGGCTGCCCTGGCCACATCAGGGAAGAGATGACCGTGTCCCCTGCAGGCACCTGAGTTACACCTGCGTACAGGTCCAGACAGCTACATCTCTCATTCTAATGCTCTCAGGGAAATGACTGTTAATTAACTTTGCATTTGCTCATTCCCTGTGCAAATGATTATCCCAATTAAACCACCTCTCATGAAATCTGGCTCTTTTTGCAGAAAGTTATTTCGACGTGAACGTCTGTGGCCCCTTCTGGTGGCATTTGTCTCACCAAAAACATCATTTTCAGTTTGGAGCCAGTATGCCATGGCAGGGTAGCAGTGAACTTGCCGTCAGGTTGTGAGGCTCCCTCTCCCAGGCAAGTCTCCCAGCCAGGGAACCTCAATTTCCCCCACGTGATGGGTCCAGGGTGTCAGTGGCAGCGCCTAAACAGACAGAGAGAAGCAGGCCGAGAATAAGACGTGGCAATGAGAATGGGAACTGAGGTTTATGGTGAATCCGTTTGTGTGCCAACCAGGGGTAAGAGTCTGGAGTCCATCTTTAGAGTTCTGTCTGCCGCACCCCTCGTACTCATATCTTTCTAAATTTGCTAATTTCAAAGTCAAATAACAGGATGAAAACCTACCCCCTGCTGAGGGGTCGTAATAACGCAGCTCACGGCAGCAAACGCTCTGGCGCAGACAGATGCAGGCTCTGGCTCCAGCCGTAACCCAGATTCTGGGATCAGTCAGGAGATATACACAAAAGCTTTGCCTTTTCTCATCCCCATGACCTTGTTCAAGTTACCTCACCTGGCTGAGCGGTTCCCTCCACGCCGCACAGTTGGGCTGACGCAGAAGAAAGCATCTCTGAAGCACCCAGCACAGAGCCTGGCACCCAGAGGCGCTTAGCAGTTATGAGTCTAACGCCCACAGGCGACATGCTGTCAAACCAGCTGCATGACCTTCTTCTGAGGACATTTTTCCTTTTTAAAACCACCCCATCCTTCTTGGGGGCACCACACACCATTCAGTTTGTTCTTCCTGCACCCCCAATCCCCAGCTGAACCACCCATGCCCATTCCTGGATATGAGCTCTGACGGCTGACCCAGGAGTCTTCCGCACAAGCAGCTTCATCTCTATGTGGAGATGACTTGCATGGAGGTGAAGTTCCAGACCTCAGGGAACTACCTGAGCAGGTAGGTTCCCAAAAGCAGCAGCTTCCATTGGAGCAGTTCCTGATGTGGCCACGAGGTGGCAGGCCTTTCTCTGGCAGATCAGGGAAATCCCACCCTTCTGACTACAGATACAGGCATGGCCTTGTGGCTGGCCTGGACCCAGCGGTGGCTCCAGGTCCCCAAAGTGGCATCCGGGCTCAGATAACCTGTGCTTGTCTCTGTCTTGAGACAGAGCAGCTATAACACTGTTCATCAGTCTCCGAGCTACAGGATGTCCATCTGAGTCCCAAAGCAAAAGGAAATGAACATTTTTCTCTTTTAAATCTCCCAACAAATGATAAGATCCTAGTTTTACAGGTGAGCAGATCAAGGTTGAGAGCAATTAAGTGACTTGGTCAGAGCCAATGAGAAGCATGAGATATTGTTTTAAATTTTATTCCAGAATATAATATTTCAAACATATTCAAAAGAAGAGAAAGTAGAGGGCTTGGCGGGTTGGCTAACCTGTAATCCTAACACTCTGGGGGGCCAAGGTAGGAGGATTGCTTGAGGTCAGGAGTTCAAGACCAGCCTGAGCAAGAACAAGACCCCGTCTCTACTAAAAATAGAAAAATTAGCTGGGTGTGGTGGCATGTGTCTGTAGTCCCAGCTACTGGGGAGGCTGAGGCAGGAGGATCCCTTGAGCCCAGGAGTTTGAGGTTGCTGTGAGCTAAGCTGACGCCACAGCACTCTAGCCTAGGCAACAGAGCGAAACTCTGTCTCAAAAAAAAAGAGACAGAGAAAATGGTCATAATCCCCACATTACTCACCACCCAGCTTCAACCTTTATCAACATTTGCCACTTGTGTTTCCCCATCCTCATTTTTTTTTCTTTACTGGAGTATTTATAAGGTGAATTCCAGACATTGTGGCAATTTATTATAAATATTTCTGTTTGTATCCCTAACAATTAGGACATTTTTACATCCACACCAAGCTATTATCACTTCCTAACCAAAGTATCAACAACTCATGAGTATCATCTAATACCCAGTTTATGTTCGAATTCCCCCCATCGTCTCAAAAATGCATTTTTAAAAGTTGTTTTGTTCTGTTATGATCCAAATAATTCAATTCACTCAATTTAATCATGTCTTTAAGCTTATTTATTCTTTAACAGTTTCATTTCTTTTCTCCAGGCTCTAAACAATTAACGATTAGTAATTATTAATTAACAAACAGTGTCATCTGTCCTGTAGACCCTCCCACATTCTGGATTTGGCTGTTTGCCCCCTTCTGCAGGTGGCACGGCACCCGGCAAACAGTAGGTGGTCAATCAGCCTTAGTTGAATGCATAGTTTTAAGGGGAGAACAGCAAAAGAATAAGAGTTTGATCCTCACAAATGTAACAGAGGAGACAGCACCCAACTTTGGAGGCCACAGGCTCTGGCCCTGGGATCCTGGGAAAGCCACAGGCTCCGACCTTGGGATCCTGGGAATGGCCACAGGATTCAGCCCTGGGATCTTGGCAGTCAGGGTTGCACTGCAGGCCAAGGGGTGCTGAGGCAGGAGCCATCATTGAGCCCTGCTGGAGAGATAGCACAAACTATATAAAAACAAGAGGCACCTCCTCTTCCAGCACTTCTTCTCCTTCGTGGGCATGTGCTATAGCAGCACTGACCTCTGTTCATATTAATGAAAACATCTAAATTTAGGAGCTTTGGTTGTGTCCCAAAGTTTTCCCATATGCTGTTCTTGGGTTTGTTTGTTTGTTTGTTTGTTTTTTGGTGTTTTGAGAAAATTGAAGGCAACAGAAAAGTACAAAACAAACACCCGTATTCCCATCATCCAACATAAAAACTGCTAACATTTGGTCACTCTTGCTTCCTGGGTCTTCTGTTTTGTCTTACTGAAACTCACTGGTAGGCTGGGCTCTGTGGCTCACACCTGTAATCCCAGCACTTTGGGAAGCTGAGGTAGGAGCATAGCTTGAGGCTAGGAGTTCGAGACCAGCCCGGGCAACACAGGCAAGACCCTGTCTCTACAAAACATTTAAAAATTCGCTGGGGGAGGGGTGGCGCGCGCCTGTCTAGTCCCACCCACCCAGGAGTTTGAGGCCTCAGTGAGCTACGATCACACCACTGCACTCTGGCCTCTGCGATGGAGCGAGACCCTATCTCTAAAAATAAAATAAAATTCACTGGTAGAGGTGGAGACCCCTGTCCCTTCCCCCCTCCTCCTTCACATAGGGCAACCAGAGCAGGAGCGGCTGTTTTAACCATCATTTTCTTAAGCACCTGCGACGGCCGTTTTGATCGCTTTCTGCCCCAGCCTGGCTTCACTGTAACTGGGCAACCGGAGCGCTCCTGCGCCTGGCTGCGAGCGGGGACAGGGCAGACACCAGCCCGGCGCTCACCCACGCCTAGTCCAAGAGCAATGAGAGCCCCGGGCCTCGGCGCAGGTGAGTGAGGGCCCGGAAACGGGAGACTGGAGAAGACAGACAGAAAACCGGGTACGGAGGCCCTCTGGGCTTCAGCGCGCGGACCCCAGGGCCACCCCGCCCCTCACGCTTTCTACCCGCTGGCTCTTGCCGACCTCGCCCCGCCCACAGAGAGGCTCCTCCCACTGTTCACTTCACCTTTCACCTCCTCGTGTTCCGGGGCTCCCGGAGGCCACAGACCGCCGTGCCCCGCAATTATTGGTGACAACTGTCTGCCCATCACATGAAAGGCAGTCACTGATTGGCTGGAGTGAAGTAGTGGGGCGGGGAAGTAGGTGCAGCGGACTGTGCGCATGCCCGGTGCGTGCGCAGTGACGGCGGCGGGCAGTGGCAGTAATGGCGGCTCAGTGCGTGAGGCTGGCGCGGCGCAGTCTCCCGGCTTTGACGTTGTCTCTCAGGTAAGGGGCACCTGCTTCCCTGGGCGGAGGAGGGAGCCAGGCTCCTCGGCGTCGCCCCTGCTCCGGGCCTTTCCTGGCCCCGGGAGCCACCTTCCTGGCCTCAGCCCCGGAGCTGGGCATCCCCGGGCCCGCAGCTCCCCGGTGCGGGACGAGGACCACTCCGCTGGGGGCCTCAGCCCGGGAACTGGGCATTCCTGGGCCCGCGGTTCCCGGGTGCGGGACGCGGGCCACCCCGTCGGGACCTGCTCTGCGCCCGCACGGGGCTCTGGAGAGGGCGAGAATGACCGCGTGGGCACACGGGCGCGGTGGTCGGGAGGGTAGGGTGGCCGCAGCACGGGTGTGTCTCGAGTGAAAGGAACTGTGGTCCACGTGTACGTGGGTCCGGGCGCCTGCGGCGACACCGCGCACACATGTCTACCACCTCCCCAGCCGCGCACTCATGGGTACAGAAGTAGCCTCAACTAAAGTGGTTGAAGAAAACAACCCGACAAACCCGAGACTTGCCCAAGGTTACTCAGCGAGGCAGAACCCGGCCGGATGTGCCCGGGTCAGGGTCAGGGTCAGGGTCAGTGGCTAGCTCATTTCCGAGCTGTAGCGCCACAGCTCAAGGGCCAGAGCAGAACTTAGGAAAGTTCCTTGTAACCTAGGTGCCTGTCGCCTGGTTCAAGGGCTTTTTCCACTTGGCCTCTACTTGGCCTGAGATTCCTGCTCCACCTCCGCCTTCTCTGGATTTCTGGGGTCAAAAGAGCAATAGATTCTGTCCCGCTGTGAGGGAGAGGAGTTTGTTTAGAAAAGTGCACACTCTATGGCTGAGGGTCACAAGAGTCAGTGCCCTCGCTTTTTTTTTAATCTTTTTTTCTTCTAACCGGTGGCTTCTGATTTTTGAAAGTTCTACCTCTGAGGTTAGTATGACAAGTACTTAGTGTCTTCTCTGTTGGACTAACTGCCTAGGACCAAGTTATTGATTAGAGAAGCTACTCCAGGCCAAACATTGGGTAGAAGCTGGGCAGAGTGAGGTCAGGGTCTGCTCTTTTTTCTCAAGGAGATTACTCACTTGGATGAGGAGACTGGGCTGGTGAAGTAAAGGTCACTTACAATGGAGGTGATTAAGGGGTGAGTGATAGCTTTGTAAGTTACATTAAAAAACAAAACCAAAATAACATAGGAACTAAGAGTAGTGTGACACTGGAATACTTGAGTAAAAAGGCTTTTTGCACAAGTAATTGGTGGTTTTGTTTTTCGAATTAATTGCCAGAAAAGGGACTGCCAGATCAGCATCTTTTCTGTCTCTGAAACCGTAGTCTTATGTAAGGTGCTCAACTAGGGGAGGCAAAAAAGCTGGATGGCAGTCATAGTTCTCAAAGTAACTAACCTTTCCATCTGGGGAGGAAATCCAATGTGGTTTATTCTCTTACAGGACTATGGCATAATGAAAAAGAGCTCCACTGGTCCTGGTAAAGAAATCGGGCTTTTAAGACTTTATCCTGTCATTCATTAATGGATTTGTCACCTTGGGCTTATCACTTAAGCTTTTTCATTTGGGGATCAAATTGGATAATATCTTAAGCCACTTCCAGTATTAGTTTTAGAGTTCTTTATATTTCCTCTGTACATGCCCCATGCTTTCCTATCTCCATGCCATTGTCCAAGCGGTTTCCTCTTCCTGAAGCGCATCTGTCCTGTCCATGCTGGACTCCTCAGGCGTAACCCTACAAAGCCTGTCCCCAAGCCAGGTATGTCCTCTTACTCTGAGCCTCCCAAAGCATTTGGTTCCTCTTTTATCACTTTTAAACCCCAAATTATAGTTCTTTGTGTGTAGATATCTCCCCCCTTTTGCATGACAGTAAGGGCCCCGTGGACAAGATCTCTGCCCTGTCCATCTTTGGCATCAGCATTGGCAGAAGGCCTCACCGCTACAGTAGCTACCCCATAAATACACGGTAAGGTCTGGGTTGACTGTATCTCTGAAGTCACTTTAGAATGAAAAGAAGAGGAGGTTAGTACTGTACTATAACTTGGTACGTTGATATTAGTTTAGGCATATATTGCAGATTTTATATGTTATATACAGTTTGCCATTATTGGATCTAAGGTATTTTCTCCCCAACAAGTCAGTCGCAAATAGTTTGGAATAATCCCCAATTTCTAAAATTACACATCTGACTTTTCACAAGCAAAAAACCAAAGTCTTCCTCTCTAATGTATGGCCTTTTCTGTAGATGCTCTCCTCGGTTGTTGTGTACGGCTACAAAACAAAAGAACAATGGCCAGAACTTGGAAGAGGACATGGGTCAGAATGAACAGAAGACAGATCCTCCCTCTACAGAGAAGATTCTCCTGGAAGAGAAGGTCAAATTAGAAGAGCAGCTGAAAGAGACTGTGGTAAGGGCTCTCGTGGGGTGTGTGCTCGGCCAAACTGTTTCTCCTAGGGGCCACACAAAGGTTCCAAGTTTCACTGGTGACAGACCAAAGCCAGAGGGGATCAGTTCTTTGTCCATGGCCCACAGTGGTCTCAGATAGGAAATTACTGCCAAAGCAAGGACTAGAACTCAAATCCTGTTTGAGTTCTGGCATAAACTGCCCTGGTTCTGGCATGAAAACAATCTTTACTTGCCTTTTTTCTTTTTCGAGATAGGGTCTCACACTCTTGCCTGGGCTAGAGTGCAGTGACATCATCATAGCTCACTGCAACCTCCAACTCCTGGGCTCAAGTGATCCTCCTGCCTCAGCCTCCCCAGTAGCTGGGACTATAGGTGTTCGCCCCCACACCTGGCTAAGTTTTCTATGTTTTGTAAAGACAGGGTCTTGCTCTTGATCAGGCTGGCCTGGAACTCATGGCCTCAAGTGATCTTCCCACCTTGGGCTGCCAAGGTGCTAGGATATAGGCCTGAGCCACCGCACCCAGCAGCTATATTTATTATCTTAAGACTTAAAATGGCCTTTACAAATGAGGAATACCCAATATGGTTGCTTAAGCTGAGACTTGGGAAAGGAACCAGAAAATTCTAAGTACAAGAGGAGTGTGATTATGTGGTGCTCTCATAGGTAGGTAGAAGTTTTATGAACTAGTTAGTAATATGGGTTCTTACTCCATGTGAAAAAGTATAGGTGACTCAAGTCAAGTTCTTTGAGGATTTAAGAATGATGGTATCAAACACTATGTGCAGGGACTGTTCTGCGCTTGTATATTAATCCTCACCGTAATCCTGGCAGAGCCAGGGTTTGAACCAGGACCATCTGCACTTGGAGCTCTTGCTCTTTGCTGCTGCCTGTAATTACCTGAAGACTGAAAACAGATGGAGTATAGAGGCCCCCACAGAGTAATTTAGTAAATGTTAGAAATAGAAAAGCTCAGGAGATGAGTGAGTTTGTAGAACAGTGGTGAGAAATCATTAAGATACCAGAACTCAAGTGGTCATTAACAATGAATATGTGAACCGAGTCACCTCTGGGCAACACCAAAAATACCAAAGTGTTGTTGATGGAGTTTTATCTCTGATGGAATAGAGGCCTAAACTTTCCACCCATGTCCATTAGTTTTCCTCCTGAGCTTTCCTCTGAGGAATGGGATTTGACATGGTCAGCCCCTAACTAGAGCTCAGGGGTTCCCTGAGGTCAGACATTCTGCTGGGGAAAGAATGTTCTTGCTTGTGGGGTGATGAGATCATGAGAACCCCAGGAAAGCAGAAGTTCTTGTCCTTTCCCTCACTATCCACTCAACTAAGAATAGGCTTGGGGACTGTATGAGTGAGTACACGACACCTTGATGTCATTCCACACTCCTCGGAAACACTGGCACAGGTGTAAATTATTCGTCTTAAGCTCCACTGTTTTAGTCTAAAATTCCAAAAGTAATAGTACATGTTATTTGTATTTTGACTTGGAGCTTGTTATGTAATCATTTTCAAATCAGACTTGCTTTCCTATGAATTTGTTCCATATTTTATTCATAGAAATCTCCGTTTTCCTTTTTTTCTTTTAGGAAAAATATAAACGAGCTTTGGCGGATACTGAGAACTTGCGGCAGAGGAGCCAGAAGTTGGTGGAGGAGGCAAAGTTATATGGTGACTGTGGGCGTGATACGGGGGGCGTGTGTGTGTGGGTGGGTATCAAAGCGTAAGAGGGGAAGGGGGCAGCAGTTAACCCCTTCCCATTTTCTAAGATGGGTCAGCAGTAACGGTGTCTGGAGGAGCAGAAAGTATGCAGTCAGGAGTGGCATTTAGAACTGTAAGGTGTGACCGTTTCTAGGGAGTGGGTTTATTGTGCCCCACATGGAGACCGTGGTGGAAACCTGCAGCCAACTGGAGCGAGTCAGCCTCCCATGCCCAGTCCCCCAGCTGTTCCAGAGGTAGCATGGCCATCCCTTCAGAACTCTCAGCATGCTGTCTGCATTGTCACCTTTGGATATTTTTGTTGCTGTTCTTCCCATTTTACAGTTGAGATCATTGAGGCTTAATGACTTACATCACAGAGCTAGTAAGTAATGGCAGTGGCATTGAGGCCCAGCTTGGGGCCCCACATGTGTGGTGTTTGTTGGACACGAGGCTACCATTTGAGTTTTCATCACGGGCCTAGGCATAACCGTCAGGCAGGTGTCACAGATGAGGAGACCACAGTGCAGAGTGAGAGGGTAAATGGTTTGCCCCAGGACAGATGGGGGTGGGGGGTGGGGTGAGAGGCCACCCGGAAACAAGTCCCAGATCTCATCTCACTGCCACATGCAACACAAATAACGAAGCCTTCCTTGAAACATTTTATTTTCCTGGCTGCTATCGGCTCAGTTTCCTGGTATTCTTCCTCTCTTTCTGATACTGCCCTTTGTTGGCTTCTGATCTGTCTGACCTCTAAGTGTTTGGGTTCTTCAGGATGTGGTACCAGGCCTCTTCTCTCCTCTTGCACATTCGCTGGGTGACTTAGGCACTCTCATGGGTTTACTGGGCGTTTGTGTGCAGGTCTCTACTTCCAGCTCTGGGATTTCTTGAGAGTCCTGGTCCCATAAATTCTATTGCTTACTTGACATCTGTGCTCAGATGTCTCAGGGGTATTTTCCCCCTCTCCCTGTGCCTCATTTCCTCCACATTTTAGTAGATTTTGGGTCTCATCCCAGAAAAGGCTTTGGGGGGTTTGTTTTATTTTATTATCAAGACGTTGAAACTCTGGGGCAAACGAATGATTTCACAAGTTTTTAAATAGCCTATCCATGAAGTAAACAGTGCTCCTTATGTTTGTTTAGGCATTCAGGCCTTCTGCAAGGACTTGTTGGAGGTTGCAGACATTTTGGAGAAGGCAACACAGTGTGTTCCAAAAGAAGAAATTAAAGACGATAACCCTCACCTGAAGAACCTGTATGAGGGGCTCGTAATGACTGAAGTCCAGATTCAGAAGGTGTTCACAAAGCACGGTTTACTCAAGTTGAACCCTGTCGGAGCCAAGTTCAACCCTTACGAACATGAGGCCTTATTCCACACACCAGTTGAGGGGAAGGAGCCGGGCACAGTGGCACTAGTTAACAAGGTGGGGTACAAGCTGCACGGGCGAACCCTGAGACCCGCCCTGGTGGGGGTGGTGAAGGAAGCTTAGCTGCCTCTTGTGGGGTTTTGGTTTTTTTTAAGTCACTTGCTGTAACTCTTAAAAAGCTGGTTCATCTTTTCTCTTCTGTGGATACATTTGACCTTTTCTCAAACGTTCTCGGAAAGCCTAAGTAACCAGTGGCTAAACAGAAAATTAAGCCAGTTGCATAACTCTCGTAATGAACTCTAATTCCAGAGTCTGTTCGCTGATCGTTAGTTCACGTTTAGTAGTTCCACGTACAGAAGAGTGCCAGCGGGACACTGGGGCCTCCCGAGTCTCGTGAGTAATGCTGTGTCTGCTCACACTCCGGTGAAGGCTCAGTATTGTGAACAAATAAAAGGTCTTCAGGAATTCTGCTGTTTGGCTTCCTGGACACACCAGTCTGCACTGTCTTCGGCACTCACTGTCACACGCGGGTCCCTGGCATACTTATTAGCCCACTGTACATTTGAGTTGAGACATTTTTATTGCTAAAAAAATGCGTGATGACTCGCGTGAAGGGCATGTATGAATTCACATGTAGTCAGCCACTGCCTGGCTGCTGAGAATGAGCGAGCGCCGCCTTTTCTGTGGGCACGCGAAATGAACGTGTGCTTTCCCAGTTCCACCGCCTTATTTTGCCAGTAACTGAGTTTGACAAAATCAATTCCTTTTTCCCCTGTGTTCTTCGTCTAAATGTGGAAATATTTAAGTCTAGATTCAACTAGTTACTAACGACTGAAAGGTAAACTCCCTAGTAAGATGGACTTTCTCAGGATAGGAGTGCATGCTTTAGTATGCCTTAAATGTTAATGTTTAATTTAAAGTTTTTATTTAAGAGGATTAAAACCCTTATATGTTTATATTCCTACTTTCTATAACAATTTTGTGTCCCTTGGTGAAGGAGGTCCTTAAGCCACTGAGGCAAGTGTGACCCAGCCTTCTTCTGAAGCTGCCGGCCTGACACACTCTCCCCTTGTGCAGCCGCTGGCTGGCACGTGCCCCGGCCAGTGCTGCTAGCTGACACTCGGTCTTGCAGCCTGTCATATAAGAACACAAAACACACGGGACCGAAAACACTAGGAGCCCCAGCAAGAGCACACACGATTTGTAAAAGGCAACTTGAGGACCCTTTCTAGCCAAAGGATCTGCTATTCCTCATTTATATTAATATCTAGGGCTTAGGGGAGAAGGCTGAGGAAGTGAAGTATCTGTTACAAATAAGAGAAAAAAATAACCTTCCACTGCCTTTGCTTCTAACAGAGGTACTTCTAGGATTGAAGGGCAATACTGGTAAATCTGTTTGCTGCCCAAAAAAGATGGGTATAGACAATTTATTTTGCATATGATTTTGAAAGATGCAGGTAATAGTCCTGTAATTAAAGTTTCAGTGTACACTATTTCCAGACATTTTCCTCCTTTCCTTTAAGCTGCCTTAAATTACTTAGTCAAAAACATACCCCACTGGTCCAACTACTTGGGAGGCTGAGGCAGGAGGATCGCTGGAGCCCAGGAATTTGAGTCCACTCTGGGTAACATAACGAGACCACGTCTCTCAAAAAAAAAAAAAAATACCCCAGAACTAAGGGCAGCGTGACATTGGAGAACACAAATGGGAGGTACACCCATGCCTATTTTTGTACTGTGTAGCTGTGGGTACATCTTTGACCTCTCTGGAACTCATCAGTAAAATGAAGGCTGAGTAAGAAAAGTAATCTTCAAACTAATTTCTATGAATGTATATAATCCCTTTTCATATAGAGCTGCGATTGCTGAAAAGCACTAAACTCATGAGCTAGAGACAGTATAGCTTAAATGTGGCAAAATATTTCTTCTAAGTTTTAATCATCCAGTCACCACTATAGGTTGGGTATTCCTTACCTGAAATGCTTGGGACCAGAGCATTTTGAATTTTGGTTTTGGGAATAGTCAAATGTGTCACTTAACAACAGGAATATGTTCTGAGAAATGTGTTGTCAGGCGATTTCGTCGTCATGGGAGCAGAGTGTACGTATACAAACCTACATTGTATAGCTATGGCTCCTAGGCTACAATCCTAAACAGTAAGTCACTATGCTGAATGCTGTAGCAGCTGTAACACAGTCGTGAGTACTAGTGCATCTAAACGTACCTAAACGTGGAAAAGGTACATGAAAACATGGTATAATCTTACAGAGCGTCTGTGTATGTGGTCCATCCTTGACTGAAATGTCATTATGCAGCATGTGGCTGTATTGACGTCATACTTGCTGTTGAGTATCCCTATCCCCAAGTCCGAAATGCTCCAATGAGCCTGTCCTTTGAGCATCATGTTAGGGCTCAAAAAATTTCAGATTTTGGCCGGGCGCGGTGGCTCACACCTGTAATCCTAGC